TTGCTATGCCAATCTGCTTATGTGCTTGCCCAATATTAATGATCACAGTGTTCTGACCAAGTTTTGGCAGCATGCCCCCTAGAGTAGCTCTGATACCATGCTAGAAAGGCATAGTGCCGGCGTAGCGGAAGCCTTGATTGTGAAATAGAATAGCAAGAGAACCTTGCAACTGAATGGATTCAGAACAATGGATTGAGAAATGAAACCACACAGCAGGGAATTTATGCTACCAGCCACCCTGCCCTATCTCTCCACACCAATAATTGTACCACCAATAATGGTCACTCTAATAATGGAGTACCAATAATTCTACCCTCAAACCTCTAGACTCCAATAATGCAGCCCCTACAATAATTGTACAATTATTGTAGGGCCTAGAGGCTTATATAGAGGACTAAAGTGAAATCTAACAGCATATATGTTTCCTTGTGTTTCTATTTCCAACACATCAGACATTATATTTTTTAAACACACATTGTGTTTTTAAATTGTGTATTGTGAAAGCGAAGCTGCTTGTACTGCACAATTGGCATCGTCGAAGCGCGCTAAACGCCCTTCTCCAACTACAAAAACCGTGGGCTGGAGCTCATTCCCTCCACCCACGTTTCTCTATTTCAAACGGCTCACACAACATTTCCGCTCTGTCAGTAGAGCTACACTGTGAGATCCCCGATCGATCCTAGGGGGGGTTACAGGCGCGTTTGCCTGGGGGGGTTATGGGCGCACTGACCCGCTACCGAAACAAGCCCTTTTATCCGAATGGTCTAGTAGTTGGGATTCTGACATGGTATTAGAGCGGTTTCGGGTTCGAATCCCGGTGTATGCACATGTTGGTCGTTGCCACTGTGCTCAGTCATGGGCCTCCCAGTGTGGGGGGGTGTCAGTAGAGCTACACTGTGAGATCTCCGATCGATCCTAGGGGGGGTTACAGGCGCGTTTGCCTGGGGGGTTATGGCGCACTGACCCGCTACTGAAACAAGCCCTTTTATCCCAATGGTCTAGTGGTTGGGATTCTGACACGCTCACGCAGTCTTTCTCTCCTTCCAAGCTGGCTAGAACAAAATCGCTTCCTAGAGGCGAGTCACCCTCGACTTTACTTAGCGATATTTTTAACTTCAATCGCTCAACGATGGCACCGACGACGACACTTAACAACGGGAACTCGTCCAACCCCGCTTCCGACTCTGACCGTAACACCCGCGATTTTGCGGGCGACCGCCGTAACAAGCGCCGGGCAGAAGATGGACCGCCCGCCCCGACTGCAGTGGACGTGCTGCTAGGCGGGCTCGAGGTTCAACAAAAGTGCCGACGCCCAGCAGCACCCTTCGGCCCCTGTGGCGCCAGTGGCACCTGCGGCGCAAGTGGCGACGGCAGCTGGCGCGGCACACGCACCTGACGCCGAGCACACCCTAGCACCCGCGGCTGGACCGTCGCGTCAGCGCCAGAGGAGGCGGACTGCGGTCTCCTCGTCTGACGCGACGACCGCCCCTGCACTAACGCAGGCGTTGACCCCGAACCAGGTCAACGCGCTGCTATCCCTTCTACAGCAGCAGCCCGTCAGCGTTACAGCCGCAGAAACTGCACTACCCGCTGCATCTGCGTCGGCTAAAAAAGAAAACGCGAAAAAGGAAAAAGGCACGTGAGGAGCACGTACGAATCGTTCCCCCTCCTGGGGCGAACATTGTCGATGGCATGTGGATTTTCAGGGTGAAGCGGCCGCCGGGTTCTCCGCCTGTCTTCAAGGCTCGTTACGTTGCACGAGGCTTCAGTCAGCGACAGGGAGTTGACTTCTTCCAGACCTTCTCCCCTACCCCGAAGATGACCACTCTTTGGGTGCTACTGCACGTTGCCGCTCAGCGTGACTACGAGCTTCACTCTCTTGACCTCACCATAGCCTTCCTACAGGGCAGCCTGCACAAGGAGATCTGGCTGCACCGTCCACCTGGCTTCACTGGGTCGTTTCCTGCAGGTACCCAGTGGAGCCTCCGACGGCCAGTCTACGGTCTCCGCCAGGCGCCTCGTAAGTGGTACGACACATTGAGGACGAGACACGCGGCACTTGGGTTTGCTCCTTTGACTGCAGACCCGTCTCTGTTTCTCCGCACCGACACTTCGCTGCTGCCGTTCTACATCCTCGTGCGCGTCGACGACTTGGTTTTTGCCACTTCTGACACTGAGGCACACGCCCTTGTGAAGTCGGAGCTGCAGAAGAGACACACGTGCACAGACCAGGGTGAGCTGCGCAGCTATCTTGGCTTGCAGATCACCCGTGACAGAGATCGACGCACCATCACCCTGACTCAGTCACACATGGTGCAGCAGGTCCTTCAGCGCTTCGGCTTCACTTGGTCCTTGCCACAGTCCACTCCTCTGGCTACCGGTCACTCGCTCTTAGCTCCACCTTCGGACGAGTCCATAGAGCCGAATGGCCCGTACCCAGAGCTAGTGGGCTGCCTCATGTACTTGATGACCTACACTCGTCCTGACCTTGCGTACCCTCTTGGCCTTCTGACACGCTACATGGCTCCTGGTAGGCACCGAAAGGTGCACTGGGATGCTGCAAAGAGGGTATTGTGTTACTCGTGCAGTAGATCGGGCATGGGGCTCTTGCTCGGAGGGTGGGGTCCAGTTGTCCTCACTAGACACTCAGACGCTTCGTGGGTTGACGACCTGACTACGCATCGGTTGTCTCAGGGTTACTCATTCAGCCTTGGCTCCGGCTTTGTTTCTTGGCGGTCTACCCGCTCGTCTTTTGTTCTCAGCTCAAGCTGTGAGGCTGAGATCTACGCGACAGCCAGGCTGCATAGGAGTTACGCTGGCTCACCAACCTGTTGAGCGACTTGGGAGAGCGGCCTCGTTCTCCTCCAGGTCTGTACGTAGACAACAAGGCTGCAATTGCCTTGTGTGAGGAGCACAGACTGGAGCATAGAACGAAGCACATCGCTCTGCGTTACTTCCTTGCTCGAGAGTTGCAGCAGTCTGGTCAGCTTCGTCTTGCTTATGTGGCCACTCGGGCCAACACTCCTGATATATTCACCAAGGCACTTCAGCCTTGTGATCATCAGCACTTCTGTACTGGGTTGGGCTTTGTGCTTGTTTTGCCTCACTTGATCACTGCTTGAATTTGCTTGTACTTTGACCAATATATTTACCTGCATGCTTACTCTTGCTAGGTAGTGATCACTGTACTGTTTGCTGTCTTTTATATATCTCTGCATCTAGCCCGGCCTTCTGGCCATTCGCTTATGCTCAGAGTGTGTGGCGACTTCGTGATCCACCCTGCGCTTGGTTTGTTTTTCTTGACTGGTCTTGTGACCCTTTGTTCTCCTCCACTTTGCCTATGGGGGTGTGTCAAACTATAATGCTGCTTATGTTGTGTAAGCTGTAGTGGGGTAGCCTATATGGGGCACAACCCAATTAGAGTTAGTACTTGTACTCGTTCGATATCAACGTAATCATTCATGCTCGTTAGTTTATGACATAATGTAGTTATTACTAACTGTTGGTGGTGCACCTCGTGTTCTTGTTCTCTTGTTCGACACTCACCTCCTAGCCAAACCCTAGCCGCCATGGTTCTTAACTTAAGCTCCTCTTTCTGACACGGGGTTCGTTCAAACGTTACAGATCTCGCTTTCGCATGACCCAACCATTGTGTCGGAATTTAGGCTTGGTCGATACAATGTTGCACGCCCTAATGTTCAACCTGGTTTGAGACTAGCTGATCGGACAGCCCACGCACGTGTTTGTGGACGGTTGCTTTGAGAGAAGGGTCGGAATGTACCCGTTACGAGAGACGCAGGATGGAGGGGATAGCAAGAAAGTTGAAATATGTGAGTATCTACGTTTTAGGAAATACTCTTGTGATAGCATTTTTGTTAAAAAATACACCCAAAAATTTAGAAAAAAATAAAAATATTTCCGTGGTCGAAAAACCCCTAATTTATCTATGATAATATGATTCCTTAATGATCACGTTATGTTTACTAGTTTCTGTACAACACCCTAAGCTAATAACTCCATCCTGCCACGCTATATAGATCTTGACATTCAGACAAGCTTGAAGCGAGCAGCTTGCGCTGTGAGAACGTCGCGGGTGTGGTTTCTTGACTGTTGCCTGACACACCAATCTTACCGGTTTGGTGTCTTAGGGCGTGTAAAGTCGTGCCACCAATTTTTGGGAAAATCCGTCGGGCCGTTGTTGGCGAAAGTAACCCTCTTACGACACTCGCCGTGTTTTGGGCGAAGCTCGGCAATTTCGCGAAATCACGAAATATTTGATGGCCGTTTCAGCGAACCGACACGACAACGACGCCAAGTCGACTCGCAAACGGCCACGAAGCGGACTAGTCAGTGCGACGGATGTGTCCATCGTCGCACAAGCGCCCCTGCGTTAGAACGAGTGGTTGTGCCACTACTGGAGTCAAATGTGCGACTGTGTCGCAAAGTGGCTGGTTTGTGCGAGGCTGCAAATTTGACATGTTTGTTCATGCGGCCTGCAAATCGGCCTGCAAACTTGTGAGCGAGTCTACAAAATGGCAAGTACAGGCCGTTTTGGTGGGCGACCAAATGTCGACAGAGAGTGGTCGTTGTTCGCGAAAGAAATAACGACCAAAAAGTCGTCGGATTTCCAGCCATTTGCAAATTTCGCAAATGGTGCGCGACTTTACACGCCCTTAGCAAGGTTCGCGACACCCGAGCCACTATTCTCCGCATTCCCCTTCGTTGCGCGCACATCAGGTGCTGTTTGAGCGCATTGAATACCACGTGATAAAGGCATGATGCCACCGATCCACCTTCCACTTCCTTTTCTGCCCTCATCGATACTCCTTGCTCGACCATTCGTCCGCGCTACCGGTCTTTCAGCCCTCCCGAGTATCCAGAAACCTTCTGTGTATTCGCAAAGAGGAGTCATGGTCGAACCTGAGGCGCCGCTGAATCCCATGCCTGTGAGATTCGGAATCCTAGGTACGGCGAGGATTGCGCGGAAGGTAATTCGCTCAATGCAGTGCGTACCAGGCGTCATTCCGTACGCCATAGGTAGCCGTTCTTACGAGCGAGCCGCGCAGTTCGCTAAGGAGGTCGGCATGGCTGGCGACGCCGCGATTTACGGCAGCTACGCTGACGTCATTGCGGACCCGTTAGTGGACGCCGTTTACATCCCGCTGCCGACTGCGCTCCACGTGGAGTGGGTGGTGAAAGCCGCGAATCACGGAAAGCATATTCTGCTAGAGAAGCCCGTTTCGCTGAATGCGGCCGATCTGGAAACCATGATCGCAGCCGTCGATTCGGCGGGAGTCCAGATCATGGACGGCACGATGTGGATGCACAACCCACGGGCAGCCGAAATGAAAGCGGCCATGCAGGATAGAGAATCTTTTGGGCAGCTCATGCGTGTGACGGCGAATTTTTTCTTCCCAGGATCAGAGGAATTTATGCAGAAAGACATTCGGCTGAAGAAGGACCTAGACGGATTGGGGTGTTTGGGAGACATTGGGTGGTATTGCATTCGAGCGTCACTCTGGGCTGCAGATTTCGAGCTTCCGTATAAAGTGCTGGGTTTTCCAGATCCCAAGGTTAACGAAGAAGGCGTTTTGATTCGCTGCGGTGGTTACCTGTGCTGGCGAAACGGGTTAACAGCTCTCTTCCAGTGTGGATTTGATTCCATTGATTCTCAGCGCCTTGAGTTTGCAGGCTCCCTCGCTACAATCACACTCGAGGACTTCTGCATCCCCTTCCAGGAAGATAAGGCCGAATTTGTGATTGAAAAGGGGTCCAAGTGGCCAAATCCGAGTCTGGGGGTGAAATCCACGGTTGAGAGGAGAGAAACTGTACTGACGTGGACGCAGGAGGCAAATATGATTGCTGAGCTGGCACGGATCGTGAGGGGAGTGAGAGAGGGGGGAGGGAAGGCGGCATTGGTTGGGCGATGGGTGGATATGATGGAGCGGACACAGCGGGTGGTGTGTGCTGTGCATGACTCGGTTGCTGGGGGAGGAGTGCCTGTGCTAATAGAGGCGGGTCAGGAGGAGCAAGGGTAAGAAGCAGGGCCCAAAATTCAAGGGTGTTTTACCCTTTCTACCCTTGCTATGGGCCGCTTTTCCAGGATTGCCCTGATTCAGTAAGTGTATTTACCTTTTGACCCTGACTGTGAAAATGTACTTTTTGAAATACACTTGCAAAATCAGGCCTACTCGAGATTTCCCCTGTTTCGTCAGGGTACTTTTTGAAATGCACTAAAACAGACTTTCTTCGCGTCGTTTCGGTACAACAAGGCCCATCTGGCCACTAGGCCGAGATGGTTACAAAACCAGCCCCACCAGTTGCTGTCGCGCTGTCAGCTCGCCAAAACAGACCACACCACAGAAGAAGTGATTCGCTGCCTCTACAGCATTTACATCCAGCACGGCAAGGGAGCCCACACCACCATGCCACGGACTGTCCTTGCAGACTGTGGGTGGTGGGGCTTCCTTGGCTTATTGCTTGCATGCGCAGCGCCACACCTTCTGGCTGCGCTTTCCCCTAGGACAAACCCTTCGATCTAGAGCCTTCTCTTTCATACACCCCTTACTCTTCCACCCTGTCTTCCATCCGCCTCTCAGTTCCACTAGCACCACCTTACCATGCCAGACGAGGAATCAGGAGAAGCTCCTGCTTCTCCTCGCAATGGACTTTCTGTGCTCGGGGTTTTCCCCCGCCTGGGCAAAGCTTATGCCACTCCTGTCAACGAACCTCCTCGCCCCGAATCACCAGTCCGTTCAGTCGGCATGGTATATGCGTGGGGCGCACCGAGCTCGCCGACTGTCATGGAGCCACACCCGTCCGTGACTCTTGTGCCTGGTGGTGACGAGGGCCCTTCAAACCGCGGCGAGAGCACTCCGTCAACGGTGAATAGCGCTCCTGCCAAGCGTCCTCGCACCGGTGGTGTGAAATACACCCAGCAGCTTCTGTGGGGTGCAAAGCCCCCACGCCAACCACCAAGTCCTCCTCGTGCAGCACCGCTTGTGAATGCTGATGAGGAGTTACCCAAATCGGATGCTGACGCTGAGTATGCAATCATGAAACACCGTTTTGATTCTGACTGGGCATCCCGTTTTCCGTGGCTTCGTTTGCATCGCACGAAAGCAGGCCGCCCCTCGTTGAAGTGCAACGTCTACATGCTGCATGGCGATCCCTCTGCCAACACGACGTACGGCGTCAAGGGCGAGGGTGGCCGCGATCTTCAGCTTGGCAGCATGCGCGCCCATGTTGCGACTCGGGCGCACAAGGCCGCCTTGAAGGTGGAAGCTGAGGCTGAGGCGCGTCGTGAGCGTCAACTCACTCTGACGCGTTGGCAAGCCACGGACGCATCAACACGTCACATAATCCGCTGTCTGCACATCGCCATGTTCATCTGTAAGGCGGATGCTCCAATCGCCCTGTTTGTTCCTCTCTGCTGGTTCCTAGCCAGAGAGGGACTACCCGATCTTCCGCCCACTGGTGGCTACGGCGCGTACTATACGGAGTAAGTAAATGCATCTGTTTTTTTCTAGCATGTTGTATTGCCTGTCATATCGGCAGCTACTGATACTTCCACATCTGTCCCTCGTGTTTGCAGCTACGGTTTCAAAGAGAAGATCAGATCGATGTCGACTTACCTGCAGGACCTGCAGCTGCAGCACCTCCTGACCTCACCGTGGTTCGGGATTGGCATCGACGAGAGCACGGATCGCATCCACGGGAAGCACCTGATCATCTATGCCACCTTCTTCAAGGGAACGCTGGTCGCGACTGAGTTTTTAACACTTCTCACGGTTGAGCGGACTGACGCGGCTTCGCTCACATCAGTTGTTGTTCAGTTCCTGCAGCATATTGGTGTGGACCTGCAGAAGATGGTCGGCATCGCCACGGATGGCGCGAGCGTGATGGTCGGGGTTCACAATGGCGTGGTCGCGCGTCTCCGCGCCAACATTCCTCATCTCGTTTCCACACATTGCATAGCGCATCGGTTCGTCTTTATGATGTGCTGTTTTTTCCGCCTTACCCCTCGGCTTGGTTGTGTTTTATCTTCAATCCACGTTTTCTCCTAATGCGTGGGCAAAATGTTCCCTTCTTCACCGATCCACCCACTGTCGTGCAGTGAAGCTCTGGCGGCGAAAGATGCTGCGACTGCGGTGAAGGAACTCAACATGGTCGACGACGTCGTGCGCGGGTTTGCCTCCCTTCTTTCCAACAGCAACGTCCAGCACGCGCGTTTCATGAATCTACAGCTCACCTTCTGTCAAACCAACCTTGAAGTCCAAGGCATCCATACAGTGCGGTGGTTATCTCGCGGGGAAGCCTTGTCTCGTCTGCTGGAAGTGCTCCCGGCTGCCATTGTGTTGATGAAGGACCAGTCGCCGAAGTTGTACGAAGTGGCAACGTCGTTCAAGTTTCATTGGCTTCTGCGGCTCCTGGCGGACGTCCTGTTCGAGCTCAATCAGCTCAACCTTCGGTTCCAGCAACGCCAGGTTAGTACGCTTTATGTTGATGTATCACAGGCAGCTCGATGCTTGGTTTGCATGTGAATTTTCGTCATAAAAACAGGCACACACTCATTCCGTATTGCACGTGCGTCACAGGTGGATGTGACTCTGGTGGCACACCTTGCTGAGCAGACAAGGATGCGCCTGACCCAACGCTACCTCCGTGTCCCCGAGGGACACACATTCGGTCATGGCGACAAGATGCATCTGCCTGCCTTCATCCGTGCACATGGGAAGTCGGACCCGGACAAGCGGAAGATGAAGGTGGAAGGGGTCGATAGAGATGGGACCCCATCCTCTCATGAGTTCGTGCTCCACGAGCGACCTCTGGCCGATGAAGACCCAGGCGGTGAAGACCCAGACGGTGACGCGACAGCAGGTGACGCGACAGCATGCAACGAGCTGTCGACCAAGTTTGTGCGGGAGGTTGTGAAGCAGCTTGAGAAGCGGCTGAGAGATCTGTCTCACCTCGATGGCTCGAAGCTCTTTTTGTCATCGAAGTACCTTCTCGACGATGACAAGCGTGTCGCGGCGTTCAAGCGCTGGCTGAAGCAGCTCCATGTGCTCTTCCGCGAGACCCTGCCCGGTTTGTGCCCGTTGATTCTGTGATATTTCATTCTGCGCACACATGAATGTCACACCCTGGTGTAATAGCATGCACACGGCCTGCTTCCCATGACTTATGCTCTTGATGACCAACACCTCTCCCCCCCCCCCTTCCCCCTCCCAACGCTAATCTGCCGCTTTGTACTCTTATGAGAATCACTTCCCCTATGCCTCAGGCTTCAACTACACGAAGGCTGTCGCTGAGCTCTGGATGTTTACATCGACTATGCATTCCCAGCACCATGACGAAGATTTCCATCAGGCGCTCAGCAACACTCTGCGCGACGACCAGTGGCAGCGCTCCTACCCCAACATCATGCTCCTGTGGCAAGCAGTCGCTGTGCTGCCTCTGAGCACGGTGGAGTGCGAGAGGGGGTTCAGCAAGCAGAACATTATCAAGACGTGGGGCCGGGGGAGCATCTCAGACACATCACTGGGACACCTCATGCGCTGCTCTCTCCTTGAGTACACCGTGGACTGGTTCGATGTCGCACGCATCTTCCGTGGCGACAGACACAGGCAGCCAATCCGAGACTTCACTGGCAGCAACCCAAGTGATACTCAGTTTAACCCTGCAGCAGTCCCTGACACAACTGCAAGTACAGAGCACCAGGAGGGACCAGAGAATGAGTGATGCAATCTTTTGTTAGTGGTGGGTTATGTATGGTTGCATGTAGGGGAAGCAGTAGTGGCATTTTGATTTTCCCTAGCACACAGGGTGGTTTCATAAATAGCCTTACAAAGACAGGATACTAGCCAAAACACACTGACTAGCACCGGGCAAAAAAAAATCCACCCTGACTGTCAGGCAAAGGGCTCTGGGGGACCCTGATATGGCAGGGTGCCCCAAAACCAATTTTGGGCCCTGGTAAGAAGGTTCAGGAGGACTGTGGTTTGGATCTGAAGATATTTTCTAGATCCACTCTTCAAGGGCTTGTTTATGATACCAACATTGTGTTCAAACAGAGAACATCGGTTAGTCGTAACGTCACTTGAGAATATCTGTATTTTCAGGTTATAACGCTGCTTTCAAGCTTAAGACATAGAGTTACTCCAAGGAAGCTTCAGTGGTCGAGTCCATTTTAAATCTCCACCCAAAATGAGACCTGAGAATCATGACGTTTTCACGGAAAGTCAAGAACTGCAAGTACAAGGAAGCTGGACTTCGAAATATTTCCAGATTATATTTTTTAAACACACATTGTGTTTTTAAATTGTGTATTGTGAAAGCGAAGCTGCTTGTACTGCACAATTGGCATCGTCGAAGCGCGCTAAACGCCCTTCTCCAACTACAAAAACCGTGGGCTGGAGCTCATTCCCTCCACCCACGTTTCTCTATTTCAAACGGCTCACTCAACATTTCCGCTCTGTCAGTAGAGCTACACTGTGAGATCCCCGATCGATCCTAGGGGGGGTTACAGGCGCGTTTGCCTGGGGGGGTTATGGGCGCACTGACCCGCTACCGAAACAAGCCCTTTTATCCGAATGGTCTAGTAGTTGGGATTCTGACATGGTATTAGAGCGGTTTCGGGTTCGAATCCCGGTGTACGCACATGTTGGCCGTTGCCACTGTGCTCAGTCATGGGCCTCCCAGTGTGGGGGGGTGTCAGTAGAGCTACACTGTGAGATCTCCGATCGATCCTAGGGGGGGTTACAGGCGCGTTTGCCTGGGGGGTTATGGGCGCACTGACCCGCTACTGAAACAAGCCCTTTTATCCCAATGGTCTAGTGGTTGGGATTCTGACACGCTCACGCAGTCTTTCTCTCCTTCCAAGCTGGCTAGAACAAAATCGCTTCCTAGAGGCGAGTCACCCTCGACTTTACTTAGCGATATTTTTAACTTCAATCGCTCAACGATGGCACCGACGACGACACTTAACAACGGGAACTCGTCCAACCCTGCTTCCGACTCTGACCGTAACACCCGCGATTTTGCGGGCGACCGCCGTAACAAGCGCCGGGCAGAAGATGGACCGCCCGCCCCGACTGCAGTGGACGTGCTACTGGGCGGGCTCGAGGTTCAACAAAAGTGCCGACGCCCAGCAGCACCCTTCGGCCCCAGTGGCGCCAGTGGCACCTGCGGCGCAAGTGGCGACGGCAGCTGGCGCGGCACACGCACCTGACGCCGAGCACACCCCAGCACCCGCGGCTGGACCGTCGCGTCAGCGCCAGAGGAGGCGGACTGCGGTCTCCTCGTCTGACGCGACGACCGCCCCTGCACTAATGCAGGCGTTGACCCCGAACCAGGTCAACGCGCTGCTATCCCTTCTACAGCAGCAGCCCGTCAGCGTTACAGCCGCAGAAACTGCACTACCCGCTGCATCTGCGTCGGCTAAAAAAGAAAACGCGAAAAAGGAAAAAGGCACGTGAGGAGCACGTACGAATCGGCATGACAACGACGCAGCGACAGCCGCTCCCCCTGCTCCAACGGTCGACAACGACACCGACGACTCTGAAAATGAAGCCGGTGAGGCTCCAGTCAATAATGCTAATTTTATTGGCACGGAAAACCTCCCCCCCCTCCCTTCTTCTAACCTCACCTTTTCGGCGGTGACTTTCGTCAACGACTCCGTGCGAGAGCAAACGGAGCTGCTGGAGGACTTGCGTGCGTACCTGCTGCACGCGGAATACAAGACGCAGCGAGGCGACTCGGCGGGCAGACTCGAACTCATCTCGCACGCGCTCAACCTCATCTCGGGGCGTTTTGAGGTGCTTCAAGTGGAGGACGCTTCCGACTTCCGCACGGCAAAACGCTTCAAACTGTACCAGCAGAAGAGCCTGCTGACCTCTCGACCCTTCAAGCAGGCGGTTGCGGATATGGCTGCAATGGACCGCGCTGTCAAACATTGTATGTGTTATATTTGTGTAGGCTATTGTGGGTTAGCTTCTAGGGGGTACACAACTCTAGGTTTGACATACTTGTACTCTCATTCTCCTTCTAGTCCACCATTCTCGTTCACTCTTAGTTTCTCACATGGTATTACGAGCCTAGGTCGTTACCTAGGACCGAACGATGGGCCCACCGTTTTCGCCTAGTCGCGCCCTCGCGCGCCTCGCCTAGTCGCGCCCTCGAGCGCCCTCCTCTCTCTCATTTTCGCGCGCCCTAGCGTGCCTCTCGCGATCGGCCCCGCCTAGCCCGCACGCCCTAGCGTGCCTCGTGCGATCGGCCCCGCCTAGCCCCGCTCGCCCTTGCGAGCCTCTTACGGACCGGCCCCGCCCCTTAGCGCGCGCCCTTACGTGCCCCATGCGACCGGCCCACACCCACCCGCGCGCCCTTGCGTGCCCTCGCGTACCGGCCCCGCCCAGCTAGACCGCCCTCGCGTACCTAGTGCGACCCGGCCCCGCCCCACCAGCCCGCCCTTGCGTGCCCCGTGCGACCCGGCCCCGCCCTAGCTAGCTCGCCACCTCGGGGACTCGTGCGCCCGTCCCCGTCGACCCATGCGTCGCCCTGCGCCCCCCCCCCTCCCCGCACACCTGAGTTTGCTTACCGCACACCCGAGTTCGCTTCCCGCACACTTGTGCACGATCCCCGCACACCTGAGTTTGCTTACCGCACACCCGAGTTCGCTTCCCGCACACTTGTGCACGATTCGCGCACACCTGAGTACCCCACCTCGAGTAGCCGCTCCCTAGCTGAGCCGAGCCGCCCCACCGAACCGCGTCACCCGGCCCGAGCCGCGTCGCCCTACCGAACCGCGCAGCCCTACCGAGCCGCGCTGCCCTACCGAGCCGCGCCTCCTACCGAGCCGCGCCCCTGATTCTGTTTCTGCTACTACTACTGCTGCTCCTCCTACTGTCACTATGGCTAGCCCTCCTGTGCTAGCTTTCGATGCTGAGGGCCGCCCAGTGAAGTTTGACACCTGGCTCGATGACCTGCACCTATTCCTACAGCTCACTGCCAAGGAAGACATCTCACTGTACGATCACGCCTTAGGCCATGCTACTGCCCCTTCTGCTACTGCTGACAGCACTACCCGCTCACAGTGGCAGACTCGACGCCCACGCTCGCTTTGCTATTCGCAACTCCTTGCCGATAGATGAGCGCGAGCACTTTGGCCAGCACAAGACTGCACAGGCACTGTACACTGCTGTCGTTGCCCGCTACTCCTCACCTGCCTCTGCCGCACTAGGCCGTCTCTCACTCCCCTACCTGTTCCCCGACCTGTCCTCTTTCTCCACAGTCGCTGACCTCATCACGCACCTCCGCACTAGTGAGGCCCGCTTCCGTGCCGCTATGCCCGATGAGTTTCTTGCCAAGAACCCCCCCCCGCTCTGGCTCACTCTCTACCATCTAGTCACCCGCCTCCCTGACACTCTGCGTGCAGTCAGGGACCACTTCCTAGCTCGCTGCCCCACAGAGCTCACCATTGCCCTCCTCGAGAAGGAACTACTTGCAGCTGAGGCTAGCATAGTCGCTGTAGGTGCCTCTCGTGGCGACCCCCGCACCCCTTTCTTTGAGGGGTGTTCCCCTTCCCCCCTTCTCCCCTCTGTAGCCTTTGCTGCTGCTGTCGACCTCCTTGGTGCTGAGAAGGTCGGGACTGCGTCCGCTCCGAGCTGGCGCCGCAGCGGCAAAGGCAAATGGGGCAAGGGAGGCGGAGGTGACGGCGGGGGAGGCGGTGGTGGGGGCGGTGGCGGCGGTGGGGGTGGTGGCGGGGCTGGAGGGACTAGTGGCAGCGGTGGGGGTGGTGGCGGCAGCGGCGGGGGAGGTGGCAGGGGCGGGGGCGGAGGTGGTGGCGGCGGTGGACGCGGAGGCGGCAGGGGCGGTGGTGGACGGGGTGGCAGCGGCGGAGGTGGTGGTCGTGGAGGCGCCGGCAGTGGCCAGAGCCAGCAGCAACCTCTGTCGCCCCAGGAGCTTCGTGAGTGGTACTCTCAGCACGGGGGGGGGGGGGGGGGGGGGGTGGACTTAGCTGCACGTACGTCATCCGCACAGGTGACCGCACTGGTCAGACGTGTGGGAGGGCGCACCCCACGCATCGCTGCTTCTCCCGCCTCGACGACGCCTG